GAAGATGGAATGAGAAACATTTGCTGGATATGAGTAGAGGGATGGCAGTTTTAACTTTCAGAGAATAGTTTATTAATGAGCTGGGAATAAAAACTTTAGAGACTTAAGGAGGATATGAGGGGATTGGAATGAGAATCAGTGAATGTGGATCACTCATCCAAGGACTGACATGAGACAGGAAGGTGAAATGGATGTTAGGTACAGGGAGACAGTAAGTTGGGCTCTAGCAAGGGTAATTATTATCCATTTTAATGTTAGAAATTTTTTTTCATTGTCACCCTTATAAGTGATGCTTCATAAAGGAGGTTTAATTTTGAAAGTGCTATATGTAAATTTCCATGTTTTGTCAAGCTGGTGTCTTTCCAAATGTAGAGAGCCTAATTGAGGTGGGTGGAGATATAAAGTTTAATAATGATCGTAACATACTTTCAACCCCAGGACTGGTATTGGATGATTTTAGTGTGCCATGTACATCTGTTGATGAGAGTCCTAGAAGAGAATGGAAAATAAATTCCAGTGCAAGGCAATTCAAGATGGTATTAGTAGTGGATGTATTGTAAGTCAATTGTTAGCAGAGGAGTCTATCTAGCTTTTGCAAAAACCAAGAATGACTGCTTTAAATCAACAGGAAGCATCCCATCACTGTGTCAGGTATATTGGAGCACACAAATAAAATAAGTAGCCCTTGCCTACAATCTAAAGAGAGAAAGGTCATCTCCATGAAGTGACTAGAGCACAGCAATGAACAAGATACGGATTCTGTGACACCAAAATTAAGACAAGTATGTAGTAGGTACTTTAAAGAAGGTCCTTTAAGAATGCATAGGCTATAACTCGGTTACAGATGAAAGGATTTTTAGGGTAAGGAAAAGCATAGAATGAGAATTGTACACATGGAGAAGAATGTGAAACAGAGGGGAAATTTGAATACAGAAAGTAGATGATTTTCCAGAAGACAGCTTAGATCCAGAATTATTAGTCTGCCGTTCATATACCAGATTGATAGTAGCCTTTTATTTTTTAAATTTTTAAAAAGATTTATTTATTTTAAAGATTTTATTTATTTGAGAGAGAGAGTGAGAGGGAGAGGGAGAAGCAGACTCCTCGCTGAGCAGTAGGCCAGATGTGGGGCTCAATCCCAGGACCCTGAAATCATGACCTGAGCCTAAGGCAGATTGCTTAACGGACTCAGCCACCCAGGCGCCCTTATTTATTTATTTTAGAGAGAGTGTGCAAGCACAGGGGGCGGCGGGGGTGGGATGCAGGGGGAAGGGGCGGAGAGGGAGAGAGAGAGAATCTTGAGCAGACTCCCCACTGAGCGCAGAGCCTGAAGCCGGGCTCGATCTCCTGACCCTGAGATCATGACCTGAGCCCAAACCAAGAGTCAGACGCCCAACAGACTGAGCCACCCAGGGCCTTTTAAAACTAGCTTTAAAAAATTATAGAAGTAGTATTTGCTCCTGTTTCTTTTTAAATTCAAGTTTAGGGGCACCTGGGTGGCTCAGTTGGTTAAGTGGCTGCTTTTGGCTCAGATCATGATCTCAGGGTCCTGGGATTGAGTCCTGCGTTGGGCTCCTTGCTCAGTGGGGGGTTTGCTTCTCCCCTTCCTCTGCCCCCTCAACTCATGCTCTCTCTCTTTCTGTCTCAAATAAATAAAATACATAAAATATTTTTAAAAAATTAATTCAAGTTTAGTATTAAAGTAAATCTTTGCCTCCTCTCCCAACCCCTGACCTTTACTCAAGGATAACTGTTTTTATGCTTCTTAGATATTCTGAAAATGTTAAAACATATTTCTCTCTCTATATATTCTTATAAACATGGTTCATTTATACTCTTCCTCAATCCGCATTTTTGAATTGGCAGTACAACTTTGGGATCTTTCCATATCGTCACGTTGATTCACCTTATTTTAGAGCTACATAGTGTTCAACTATATGGATGTACCTTATTTGTCTACTAACCCACACAAAAACCTTATGGGTCTGGCATAGTGTGTTAGTTTTTTTTAAAAGGTTAATAATAAAAATAAATTTTTATTATGGTAGATAAGGTTTTCTACAGGACAATATGTGTAGTATATATTTTATTTCTATTTGCATACACACATTTCCATGTGCCTCACCTATAACCTCGGGTTGGAAAAGACTTTAAAACTACGTGCCGCAGGGGAAGAGCAGTCCTTGTCTGACCTGGGCATTTGCTCACTATTGCTAGAGGTAACCTTATGGGTTGAGATGCTTTCATCTGCAAGGAACAGAATGCCAGACTTAGAAGTGCCTTAACCAGTGAAGGCGCTGAATTACCTCGCACACAGGAAATCCAGAGGTAGGCTGTTGCAGGTGTGGTCGACGTAGTGGCTCAACTTCTCCAACTCATGTAATTTTCCCCTCAGAGTTCCCAGAGTTGTCTTGGCCCAGGCATCATGGCTTCCCACGGCTGTGTTCAAAGGCACACAGACTGAAGGGAGATTCTTGCCTAAGGATCCAGAAGAAATCTAGTCCCAGAAGCCCCTTGACGGACCTCCCCTCACCTCCCTTTGGCCAGAACCAGGTCACATGACCACACCGTGGCTGCGTGGAAGGCTGAGCGTGCAAGTCTGCGGTGTTCTGTGTCCATGAACATGAGCGTTCTCAGCGAGGTGGAGTGGAAGGAGTTGGGACAGACGTTGCCTGGATAATGCAGAGGTGGCTTGAGTAGCCGATACCATTTTTGGATAGAGTTAAAATCCATCTCCTGGTAACTCGACTTTGGGTGTTGGTTAAGCTCTCTAAGCTATTCCTAAAGAACAAGACTTCTAACGAAATAAGTAGAAAGCTGTAATGTCTCTCTTTTGCCCCTTCCACCGCCCTCCTTCGCATGATCATTTCTGTACTGTCAAAGTGGAGAAAAATACAGAGCATCACTGTTTTCTGTGGCTCAGACTCTTCCCTTGCTTTTTCATTGGACTGTGTATCAGCTGCTTTGCTTCCTAAGGTTTTTGTTGTTGTTGTTGTTGTTGTTTTTTTATGGGAATTCATCAAAATTTGTAACTGCTCCCGTATTTATTGTTTCTGCTTTTATTGTGGCAATCAAGATACATGAAATAATAAGTTGGTAGAAACAAACAGAATTTCTACCAAATAATTTGGATTAGAATTATGAGGACAGGGGCGCCTGGGTGGCTCAGTCGGTTGGGCGACTGCCTTCGGCTCAGGTCATGATCCCGGAGTCCCGGGATCGAGTCCCACATCGGGCTCCCGGCTCGGCAGGGAGCCTGCTTCTCCCTCTGACCCTCTCCTCTCTCACGCTGTTCCTCTCTCGCTCGCTCTCTAATAAATAAATAAATAAAAATCTAAAAAAAAAAAAAAAAAAAAGAATTTTGAGGACAAGTTGTATCCTTGTATCTTTTTAGGGTGATCTGCAGGGATGCTACAAATTTAACTATAATATGTGTCTTTCCTTTCTCTTCTGTATTGTCAGTCTTTTAAAAGACCCGTGATTTAGAATGGGTGGTTAAGTAGGTAGGTGATGTGGGTATCCTTAGCTCTTAATTTATATACCAGACTTCATTTCTCTGGACTTAGTGTTTGTGAAGCAGTTATAAGAGTTTGGAAAAAAGTATCAATGGTGTGGAAATAAAAGGTCAGACCTTGGAGCATAGGTGTATGTCATTGTCCCCTTGACTTTCTAACTAGCCTGTCCCAAACTTTCAGGGATTTCTTTCAAGGGCCCATCTTTCTTGGGGTCTGAGCACCTTTGAATCATAGGCTTCCCTTTTCTGATTTTATTTGGCTCATCATTCTCCAACCCCTATTCCCCAGAATCATTAGATAAGAAAATATGTGTAAGGATGCTCTTTTTGAATGAAAACCTATAATAAGCAGGGATCTGATTGTTGCCTTTTCTAGATGAGAGATTAATGGAGACAGTGTTTGCTGGAACATTTTGGACTTATTTCCCCTGATACTGAATTTGTAAAATTATTACCTTTAAAACTAAGCTCATACTTAATGCCTTCATTTCCTTTGCGCACCGCTCTTTGGGTCTGTTTCCCTCCTGTGTGGAAATTTCCAAGAATCGTAAGCCTGAGGAGGTTTAAAACTGGAATCTCATTGGTTTAAAATTTGCAAAATACATTGGTTCAGAGAAAAAAGGGCTACTCTACTCTACTCAAATAACATCATTTTCACATGATATATTCCCTTAAAGGTCACATTATAAGACAAGAATGTGAGGTCTGTTATTGAATAGAAAAATGGAAAACTGCACAAGATTTGTAAACATTTGAATAGAATGACAGTCGGCTTACCCCCAACTCCATATTCTTCCTATTCTTTCCTGGATGTGGCTGGTGTAGTGTATAGCTGACTATCATTTTATGGTTTGTGAAACCTTTTGATTTTAGAGCATGTGAGTCTTTTACAAATGTCTCTAACATATGGTAGGACAACGGAATATCCAAATTGACAGCCAATCTGACTTCTTGGCTAAGCCACACCAGGCACTGTTTGGTCCCTATTTGATTTCTTTCTTGTTCTTTCAGTTCCCTCTAAAAAATAGTAAGGAAACCTCACTACCTATTTCTCAGTCCCGGAGAGGACAAAATCCTTTTTAAATTTCTTTTTTCCTTTTGCTTCAGTAGGACCTTCAGGTCCAATTTTCCTCCAAGACAGTGCCCCAAATAATTGTAGCAGGGACTTGAGATTTTTGCCTACTTCGAGTGCTGAAAGGCGAGAAGTATTCCAAAAGAATTGCCAAGTTTGGTTAGTGAGAACACTCCCTGTCTGTTCATAAGGACAGTGGTGGCCTCTTCCACTAGCACCTACTTTGAGAAACATGGCAGAGCTGAGTGACCTTGAAGGTTTGGGTCCATTAGGAAGACCAAGAGTAGAAATCACTGCCCTCAGTGGTACTAACCTTCCATAAATATTAGCCTATAAACGAGAAGAACGGAGGGGAGAAAGCCTGGGCCTGTATGAAAGACACAGACCGTCCCATTTTCTTTGTTTGCGCTTTAGAAGTCCACCTGGACCCCTACCGAACATGGTGCCCTGTGGCAGACTGTCAAACGGTGTGCCCTGTTGCCTCCAGTGACCCGGGACAGCCTGTGCAGGTGGAGTGCCCCTCCTGTCACCTGAAGTTCTGCTCCTGTTGCAAGGATGCTTGGCACGCAGAAGTCTCCTGTAGAGATGGTCAGCCCATCGTCCTACCAACAGAGCACGGGTAAGAAAGGAAGCCGTCTTTGGGATTCATCACCGGTTTTCTCAGAAAGCCCAAATAGGTTGCCTGGAGAAGGAGTTCTCTTGTGATGGAATTTAGAGATCAGTTATTTCCCTGGGGAACTTCCCTGAGACGTGTCTCCGAATTGGGAAGTTGCTAACAAAGAGTAACTGACAGAGCCTTTCTGAGGGACTTTTAGGTATTGACCCTTGGACAGTCTCCCTGAGACTGCTGAAATTAGGGTTTGTAAACATTTTGATTCCTCTTCAGGTAGGGGGAGGCACACGGGCCACTGGTTTTCAATAGCAAGGCGGGGCTTGTCCACAGCCTTTTGCTTAGGAGGCGTGAGCACCTGCTATGGATTCACCTCGTTCTTCCTGCTTGCAAAGCGGTGCGGAAATTATTTTGCGACCCGACCATGTGGCAGCTTGTGAGGCGTGCCAGTCCTGTCAAGGAGGGCACCACAATAGAAACAGCAGTCCTTCAGGGCAGCGCAGTGCTCAGTGCGCAGGCCCTAGAGGAAAAGGCTACATCTCTCAGGACTTGGTGCCTAGAAGGTGGTGCCAAGGCTCAGATTCTGTTACAGCGAGAAGCAATTAAATCTGTACCTTTCAGTACAGAGGGATTTTATGGCAGCAGAAAGGCCCAGAGCGGGAGACTTTTGCGCTCGATCCCTTGCTTTGCTTGAGGCCCTGGCTATTCTGCATGAGCAAGAACAGAGGTGCTGGTGTTCCAGTCCAGTTGGCCGACTCAGCCCGCACCCTCAGAGTGTGTAGAACCATTCTTCAGGAATAGTGGCACTACCTGGCTAGGATAGTGTGCTTGAATCTTGGACCAAACCAACCAAGAGGAAAAATAGATCTAGTGCACATGGCAGGCATGCGTCTTCTTAGCCAGTACCCTCTGCACATGGCAGTGAGGTGTGTGGGTATCATGGGACAATGTGAAGATCCCAGAGGAGAGAGAGGTGGAGTTCTTTTTTTATTTTTATTTTTTAAGATTTTCTTTCTTTAAGAGAGAGAGAGAGAATGAGAGGGGGGAGGGTCAGAGGGAGAAGCAGACTCCCCACTGAGCAGAGAGCCAATTCGGGGCTCGATCCTGGGACTCCGGGATCATGACCTGAGCCGAAGGCAGACGCCCAACCGACTGAGCCACCCACGCGCCCCGAGAGGTTGAGTTCTGACACTGTCGCTTGGTATCTGTGGGACCTCATGGAAGTCACTCAGCCTCTATGAGTCTGTTTCCCTATTTGAAAAAAAAAAGGTGGTGGTGGGGAAGAGAATTAAGATAGTAACTGTCCCACTGCTCTAATAAGGTTATTGTGAGTACCAAATCCAATCCTGGATCTGACAACACGTTGTGAACTTGATGGCTCTGTGTGCTGGGGGCTGGTTTTGATGAACGGTAGCTAACGTGCAGTGTAGTGCTATGGCCCCCCTAACCTTCCCACCCCAATGTGTTCCACTTATTCTCCATGTCCCCTAAGACTGTGAGCCTGTGCTGACCTATTCATCTGTCTGGAGCAGGTCTCTTTAATGAGACTGGGCATTTATTTTCAAATATTGATTATTGCGTCCCCCGACCTCTTCCATTTATTTATCGGAACAGATCACCAGAAAGATTTATCTATGCTTTGTCAGATCCAGAGCTAGTTTTTCTGTTGTGTAGCAGAATGCTTGTGTTTTTGATTTAGACAGTGTGTGCTCAGGGAATGAAATACTAATTTGGCAAAATAATAAATTAAGTCAGGTGTGGAAGATACAATTATATCATTACTCCAAGCCAAAGGTAAATAAATTAAGGTTCTTTTTTTGTTTTGAGTTATCCGAACAACTAATAATCTGTGTCTCTCCTATTTTTACCCCCACCCTCTTCCATGGAAGTGAATTAATCAGGAGCCCTAGGAATTCAGTTGGTGACCATAAAGTTAACTGTTGAATTAATTACACTCCGCCCACTCTTCCCCAGCCCTGGTTAGTGTACACCCTTGCGGTTCTAACAGCATTCTTGATCCACCCCCCATAATTTTCATCCATTTTGTGTCTAGGGCCCTCTTTGGGACAGACGCAGAAGCCCCCATTAAGCAGTGCCCTGTTTGTCGGGTTTACATCGAACGCAACGAAGGCTGTGCTCAGATGATGTGCAAGAATTGCAAACACACGTTTTGCTGGTACTGTCTCCAGAACCTGGACGTAAGTTCCACTTGGAAGCGTCTTCTCCTGTGGTCTTTTTCTCCATCGTATCTGTGCAACCGTCAGGATCCTACAGGCTTTCCTTTAAAAATCTTGAGCCTATATTTGTCCTGCAAAAGAAGGTTATTTTTCTTAAGGATACTTTGTGAGCCTGCTACTTTATTTTTATTTATTTATTTATTTATTTATTAAAAGATTTTATTTATCTATTTGAGAGATAGAGCACACAAGCAGGGGGAGGGGCAGGCGGAGAGGGAGAAGCAGCCTCCCATGGAGCAGGGAGCCCGATGCGGGGCTCAATCCCAGGATCCCGGGATCATGACCTGAGCCGAAGGCAGATGGCCAACCGACTGAGCCACAGAGGCACCCCGAACCTGCTACTTTAGATGTCTAGCAAATGTCTCTTTGAGTCCCTTAGCTGTGTCAGCTTAGCTGTGAAGGCAGGCTTTTGTTTTAGGGACGTTCCCTGCTTTGGGGAGCAGTGTCTCCTTTTATCATGTAAAGAACTGTCAGTGTATTCATTTATTTTGCTGCTGTAACAAATCACCACAAACGAAGTGGCTTAAAACAGCACAAATTTATTGTCTTTAGTTCTGTCCTCTGGCAATCTGACGTGTGTCTCACTGGGTTAAAATCCAGATGTCCTCAGGGCTGCATTCTTTTCTGGATTCCAGGGGAGAATCCATTTCTTTGCTTTTTCTAGCCTTTAGAAGCTGCCTGCCTTCGTTGGCGTGTGGCCCCTTTCTCCATCTTTGGAGCCAGCCACATCACGTCTCTCTGACCCCTTCTTCCATTGTCACGGCTCCCTCTGACCACAGCTGGGAAAGCTGCTCTGCTCTAAGGGCGAGCTGATTAGATTGGCCACATCTGGATGATACAGTGATTAGATTGGCCACATCTGGATGATACAGTGATTAGATTGGCCGCATCTGGATGATATAGGCTGTTCTCCTCCATCTCAGGCTCTTACTTTAAGCACACTTGTAAAGTCCCTTTTGCCATGTAATCACCATATTTTCTGCCTACCATAATTTGGTTCTCTTCCTCTTTTTGAATTTAAAGAAGAAAGCCACTCTAATCAATGGGATGTCTTAAATAACCACTTCATTCATTGGCACGACGGTGGTATTGCTCTCATTTGGTTAGGGATCCATGCCCAGATAAAGGGGTCTGCCCCAGTGATTCTTTCCCCTCACCATTCGTGAAGCACGTCTTGCCCGGTTCAGGTGCAGCTCATTCAGTCCCGTGCCGAGGCCTATGGTAACCTCAGAGTTAAAAGGTGGTGTGAAGGACTGATGAACAGATCTTCCTTTAGTTCTGGTGTTTCTTCTAGCATGTGTGCTGCCCCAAATAGGAATAGATAGTCCCTATTTTGGCAATCTGGACTCATGAAATATGTCCGTATCAGTGTGAGCCCTCCATCATGGTGAGGTGGACATTCTTTTCTTAATTTTTCTTTCTTTCTTTCTTTCTTTCTTTTTTTTTTTTTTACAAGACTTATTTATTTTAGAGAGAGAATGAGAGCAAGTCAGCGCAAGTCAAGTCCGGGGGAAGGGTAGAAGGAGAGAATCTCAAGCAGACTCCATACTGAGCATGGAGCCTGAGGCGGAGCTCGAGGCGGAGCTCGATCACACGACCCTGAGGTCACAACCTGAGCCGAAATCAAGAGTCGGACGCCCAACCGACTGAGCCATCCAGGCGCCCCACTCAACTTTTCATTTCAATTGCTTGGTTTGCTTCAATTTGATGAGCAGCTCTGGTGATGCTTTTGTATCACACAGTCAGTGAGTCGGTGTGCGGTTAATACGGGATGCATGCTGGTCACCACATGCCTGATTTTTAACTGAAAATTAGCTAAGTTGTTTCAGATGACATCTGTGAGGAAGAATTTTAAACAGCCTGATCTCAGTATTTCAAGCAGTGCTATAAATTGGGGGAAAGAAAACTGAATTTTAGACTGTGGAAGCTCAGCAGCTCAGGTTGAAAGAAGTGTTTTTATTTTTATTTTTTAATACTATTTATCATAACCCCTTGAATTACAAGTATGTGTGATATTTGAGACCCATTATGATTCCAAACGTGTGGTACTCTGGGCGAGGTTTTCATTGATTGCACACCCCCTGTGTTTTTACAAAGGAAAGAAATCTTTTCTATTTGCCTTCAGGTTTAACCAGAACATTAATTGGGTTCATATCCACAAGGAAGCTGAGCCCATGAGGTTCTTTTTAAGAGGCAAGAGTATAAGGGAATAAAGATGTGTGCCAGATCTCCCCATCCTTTGGCTGAAATATGTTTGGGGTATGGTGTTGCAAAGAACACACTGTTCTGTTACTTGGACTGTTCCGGTGCTCAAGTTGAAATGGTACAGATGTTAAAAGGCTGGATACACAGACTTCAAATACTGAAGCATCTTTTTCTGGTCATTGTTTTCTGAGATCTCATTGTCTCAGTTTTCGCCAGGGGCACTGGCTTGTTGGTAATCATGTTTTTCTCTTGACAAGTGTTCTGTGTCAGATGGTGGTGTTGATCTTTGTTTATAGGAAAGTTTCAGAGCATGGATCTGGGAGCAGAATGATTGTCCAAGAGCCAAGCCCGAGACGGATGCCCAAACGGAGTGATTTTTGAGTTTTGCTGGGGTGTCGAATTTGCTCCTGCCTTGGTCCTCATCCCTGCTGGTTCAGAGGATGAAGTGTTCTTAATCTGCTTGGGGACCTCAGAGACTTGTCCCCTTCCATTATCTCTTCTCTCTCCTGTGCCTTCAATTTCCACTAACCTCTCCATGTGCTCACTGTGTCCCATTTAAAAACGAGTCACACTTTTCTCAAGCCTACATGTCTCCCTTACTACCATTCTCTCTCTCTCCTTCTCTTAGAAGCCAAGCCTCAAAACAGCATAATCACCTCTTGTTGTTGATACTTACCTCCAGTCTTTGAAGTGCGCTCAGCTGGCCACATCGTCACAGCCTTGACTGTGTTTTTCCAAGGCTTTGAGTGCTGTCTTTTGGGTAAAATCCAATGGATGTTTCAGTCCTCCTCTTACCTAGATTCTCCCCTGCCTTTGATGTCTTGACCACGTCTGTTTCAGTAATGGCATGTCTTCTGCTTTCCTTCTACCTTTCTGGCCACTTCTGTTTCCTTTCCAGGTGCCTCCTTGACTCATGCTTTTTTCTTTTCTTTTTTTTTTTTTTTTTAGAGTTACGTTAGCAAAACCGGGGAGGGGCAGAGGGGGAAGCAGACTCCCTGCTGAGCAAGGAGCCCAATTCGGGGCTCGATCCTGGGACTCC